AACATATAGAAAGCTTACAAAATTAATCAGTGAGCTTAAAAAAATTTTGTATTTAATAAATATGTAACATTTTCAGGCTTGCCTAAAAATAATCATATGCTAGTAGCAAATATTGAAGAAACGAATGCTAACTGAAAATTTGAAAAACTTTATTATAAAGCTTTAAACTAACAACAAATTTAAAACTAAAGCTCAGAGCGAAGTTTTTCCTTTAAGTCTTTTTCGCTCAATGCACAATTAGCAAACTACACACACACACACACATGCATATACATATACATGTACACATTCGTAAATATATGTGTGTTCTCTGTCATTGCGCCGAGCCATAAAATCTGAACACAAGCGACATTTGACGAGCGAGGGGCAGAGGGCGGCTGGACAATTTTGTGGGACAGTAATTGAAACCGTTAAAGCTTAGCTCAATGTAATTTGTGCATGTGTGTGTGGGAGAGTGACTGTGAGAGTGTGTAGGCGGTAAGATGAATGGCAATTGCCATTGCGGGTTCACACACACACACACAAACACACATAGACATGCTGGTCAGCAGTCGCTGCTTATCTCAAATGTTGCGAATATTATCTGCGATAATGAGAAACCTAATTGTGAGCTATGCAAATGTGTGGACATAACAGGTAAGCACATGTGTGTGTACGTGTATGTGTGTGTGACATTACGAACGCCGGCTAAGTGTTAAAGCAATTAAATTTGATAGTTTATCGAGGCTAATTTAAATAAACGGAAATTAGACACCTGTACATAAATTGGCAACGCTCTGTCCATGCTCCACTTAAATTTTTTTCACACATTTCCACAGCACAGTTGGCAACGCGATACAGCTAAAACACACCATAATTAACGGCATACACATACACACACACACACACACACACACAAAGGCAGACGCTGCACGGACATTTAATGAAAACGCGAATGCTAATGGAAATACGAATGGAGAATGGAAATTCTGTGTGTGTTCTTGGCGCGACTGGTCCATTGACATTGGCTGGACTCTATGGTGCAGCGAGTAAAGCACTAAAATTGGCCGCTATGCTGGCAACTTAATTGGTCTGTCAGCGCTGGAGACGTCTGATCTGTGCAAGGCAACCGCAAATTGCACAAACGCGTTGCCAACTACATACACAAGCTACATAGAGAGCTGTGTGCGACAGTGTGTGATAGCTGATTATGCCCGAAATCTAAGGCCTGCCTGCGCACACAATGCCAATACGCCCTGTTGCTGACACCACATACATGGCTGCTGTATGTTAATTAATTTTGTTTAATTCTAGATTAAACAATGCCGGTCTAAAGTTTGTTTTATAATTTGAAAAACTTTGAATGTAGCTTGCGGTTAGAACGAACAGTTTGGCAGTCACGGCTGTTAATAGCAGGCCAGCGGGCTTGCCAGCTTAACAGTTCTGCAGCGCTGTTAGCTGGCATAACAGTTTTGCTTAAAAGTACGCACACGCTGAAGCTAATTATACATGACTGAAATATAATGTTAAAGAAATACCGTTTATATTGAATACTTGCTGTTAACAACAGCTCAGAAATTCTTATTGGAAAAGGTTGTGCCTGCTGTTAAGGACTTTAATCAACCTAAAACTGTTATTTTAATGTGTTTTTATGTAATTCTTCCATATTTATTTAATATATATTCACACAAAGCAGTGGAAACACGAAGAAATATTTATTTGCTGGAAAATTTCTCAGCGCAGCAACTTAAAGTTTCAACAAAGTTGCCCTCAGGTCACAACGAAGTCTCGGAAGTAATCCCCTGAAATGCTGTAACCACAATTTTGATTAGCTCAGGACACGAAGCTGCAACTGCTGACCAACCCGACCGCCCGCCCGCCTGCATTGCATTTAATTGGCACAGTCAAGCCAAGACGAGCGCCGGGTAACATTAACCGGCAATCTTCCAGCTGCATGCAACACCCAAAGCCAACCAAGTCCCGAGCCCGTATGCGCCCCTTAATTGACGGTTTCAAATGTTTGGCTCCGGCTGCGCTGTTATCTAGCCTTTTGTCTTATACAGCTGCTGCTCCTGCAGCAGGACTCGACCGCAAGGACAGTGGCTGCAACACCTGATAAGCTGGTTGCCTTTTGTTGCTTTCATCTTGTCTTTTCAACCTGCCTTTATCAGGTCAAATTCAGTCGGGCGTGCCCGAATGGCGAATGCCCTGTACCTACCCATGAGCTGCCGCTAACAGCATTCGAAGAAGAAGAAGAACTTCGGTGTATATTGTCCGATCTTGTTGAAATTTTAATTGGATTAAAATTATGTACGAATGTTATTGTACACAAAAGGCCTAGGCTACACTTTCAATAGAGTTTAATATACTTTAGGAAGGATCGATGAGAAGTATGTTTTCTACATTTGTGTATGCTTTAAGAGAGCCTACGAACCAACTGTTATGTCTCTAGCTCTTATAAGCTCAGAGCTATGCTAAAAAAAACCATCAAATTTTACCAAAGTCTAATTATCGAAGATAT